ACATGGATTGTGAGTATTGGGTCGAGTAAGGTCGTGGTTGATTTTTTTTTTTTTTTTGTCTTCTCTCTTTCTCTGTAGTTTGTGCTTTCTTGCTCTCTTTTTTCTATTTCGCTCTTCTCTTTCTCGTAGTATCTCTCTCTCTCTCCTTTCTGTCTTATCTCTCTCCTATTTCTGTTTGTATCTCTCCTCTCTCTCTCTCTCTCTCTCTCTCTCTCTCTCTCCTCCTCTCTCTCCTCTCTCGCTCTCTCTCTCGGTCTCTCTCTCTCTCTCTAGCTTTCGCTCTCGCTCTCCCTCTCTCTCTCTCTCTCTCTCTCTCTCTCTCTCTCTCTCTCTCCTCCCTCTCTCTCTCTCTCTCTCCTCTCTCTCCCTCTCGCTCCGCCTTTGGAAGTCATAAATATATATTTTTTCAAGCCAGCGTATTCGAAACACAGAGTTAAGAATGCATAGAAAAAAATTAATCTGTGATTCTTTCTTCTTTCAATTAAAATAAAAAATGAACTTTTGAACGAAGCTTAACCTTTTCATAAATTAGTTGTGTACTTGTTGAAGAGAGAATTAGCCCCGGATATCGCTCTGCACACCCACACACCTGCTGAGTTAAAGTCATAACTCACCTGCTGAGAAGCGCTCTTAGGAGCTGATGAAAACAAGTTATGAGACTGAGATTTCATACCACTTCTTCTCTCCTACCAATCTAATCTGTTTTTCTCTCTATCTATTTGGTCGTTCTCTCTCGCTCTCTCTCTCTCTCTCTCTTCTCCTCTCTCCTCTCTCTCTCTCTCTCTCTCTCTCTTCTCTCTCTCTGCTCTCTTCTATCTATCTATCTACTATCTATCTATGTAGTTATCTCATCTATCTATCTACTGTTTCTTGATATCTGGTCTGTCTGTCTGTCTCTCTCTCTCTCTCTCTCGCCTCTTCTCTCTCTCTCTCTCTCTCTCTCTCTCTCTCCTCTTCATCTCTCTCTCTCCTCCTACTCTCTCCTCACTCAACACACACACACAAACACACACAACACCACACACACACACACACACACACACACACACACACACACAGCCTCACACACACACACACTTACACATACATCATCTCCTACCACCCACCGCTTGAGTAAATTAAACCACCTTGATTAAAACGGGCTTCCTGTTAAAGCGGCAACCAAGGCTACATTTATCCACGCAAACAAAGGGGAATATGGTATTAATTGCAATTTTAACTAGACGCGCACAGTGGAATCTGTTGGGGTTTTTATGTTTTTTTTCGTTCTATGATTATTATTTTTGTGGGGGGGAGGAATTGTGTGTGGGTTTCATAAGGTGATTTTTTTTTTAAGGTTTTATGGTGTCTTCTCTGTCTTGTGTTATGAGTGAATTTTTTTTTTTTTGTTTGGTACTTTCTCTTTGATTCTTCTGCTGTTGATATTCCTTATGGCTGTGCTCTTTCTCTCCCTCTCTCATCACTCACTCAATCTCTCTCTCTCTCTCTCTCCTCTCTCTCTCTTCTCTCTCTCTCTTCTCGTCTCTCCTCTCTCTCTCTCTCTCGCTCTCTCTCTCTCTCTCTCTTCTCCACTCTCTCTCTCTCTCAGCACAGCAAACCACACAAAATCACAAACTCTCACACACACACACACACACACACACACACCACACACACACACACACACAGCACAACACACACACACACACACACACACACACAACACACACACACACACCAACCACACCACACACACACGCACAAGTACATCATCTTCCTACCACACGCGGCTGAGGTAAATTAAACCACCTTGATTAAAGCGGGGGTTCGCTGTTAGCGGCACCCAGGCCTACATGAATCCTACACAAACACAGGGCGGGAATATGGTATTAATTGCATTGTAAACTAGACGCGCGCACAGTGGAATCTTGTTGTGGGTTTTATGGTATTTTTTTTCGTTTTTTTTTTTGGGCTGAGGGGAGGGAGAATTGTGGTGGGGTCTTTAGGTGATTTTTTTAAGTTTTATCGGTTGTCTTTTCCCTGTCTTGTTATGGTGATTTCTTATTTTGTTGCGTACTTTCTTCTTGATCTTCTCATTCTTTTTATTCCTATTGCTTTTTATTCTTTATCTCTCTCTCAACTCTTCTCTTCTCTCTCTCTCTCTCTCTCTCTCTCTCTCTCCTCTCTCTCCCTCCTCCCCCTCTCTCTCTCTCTCTCTTCCTCTCTCTCTCTTTCTCTCCCCTCTCCCTCTCCCCTCTCCCTCTCCTCTCCCTCTCCTCTCCCTCTCCCTCTCCCTCTCCCTCTCCCTCCCCCTCTCCCTCTCCGTCTCTCCTTCCTTTCAACCCTTTCCCTTAACCCTCTTCCTCTCCCTCCTCCCTCTCTTTCTCTTTGATTCTTTCTCCATTCTTTTTTAATTCTCTTTATGTTCTCTCTTTCTCTTTCTCTTTCTCTGTCTGTGCTCTGTCTCTCTCTCTCCTCTCTCTCTCTTCTCTCCTCTCTCTCTGAGTAGATATATATATATATTATATATATATATATAATATATACTAATATATATATATAATATATATAATATATATTATATATAATATATTCCTCTCTCTTCTCTCTGCTTCCGCTCTCTCTCTCTCTCTCGGCTCTCTCTCTCTTGCTCTCTCGCTCTTCTATATATATATATATATATATTAAATAATATATAATATATATTAATATATATATCTTTCTTCTCTCTCTCTCTCTCTCTCTCTCTCTCTCTCTCTCTCTTCTCTCTCTCTCTCTCTCCTCCTCTCTCTCTCTCTCCTCTCCCCTCCCTCCCCCTCTGCCCTCTCCTCTCCCTTCCCTCTCCTCTCCCTCTCCCTCTCCCTCTCCTCTCCTTCCCCTCCCTTTCCCTTTCCCTCTCCTTCTCCCTCCCCTCTCTATAACTGTCTCTTCTCTGCCTTTCTCTCTCTCTCTTCTGACGCACATTACCCAGAAAAAAGAAGTAATTTCATTAAGCTAAACCTCCCCGTTAATGAAGAAAATGTCGGCTGTAAACAACTTCTCACGTGTAATAAAGAGTTTGTGAGAAATTGTCTTCCAAGGCAGAAGTTGAACGACCTTTTCAGATTCAAACATCATGTGGCCAAAGTCAGACGGACGAACAATTACAGATCGTAGTGGTCAGGATTTTTTTATGAAGATTTTATGTCCATTTCTCCATTCTTCTGTGTATGTGCTGTGGGAGAGGGGCGGTAAGAGGAGCAAGGGCGGAAGGAGGGAGACGTGAAAGGGCAGAGGAATGAGAGAGAAGGAGGTAAGAGGAGCGGGGGAGGGAGAGAGAGGGGAGAGAGAGACAGACAGACAGAGACAGACAGGACCACCAGACAGAGACCAGACAGACAGACAGAGACACGCAGACATAGACAGCAAGAAACAGCGACAAATACAGACAGACAGAGACAGCGAGAGCAAAAGAGACAAAGACAGAGGTCTAGAAAACTTCCCCCCTCATCCGACTAACAAGATTAACCCGTATAATTCTCCTCTCCATTAAAGTTTCCCCGACGTCCGTGAGGCTTCTCGAGGGTTCCGGAGGCCAGGTCACCATGTCCGAAGGGAGGTCACGACCCCTGGTGTGCGAGGCCAAGGGGTCACGCCCTCCAGCTCGCATCACGTGGCTCAGAGACGGGGAAGTCCTATCGCAGCATCTGACGGTGAGTAGCAAGGTCCTGTTCGAAGTCCTTCTCGCTCTGCCTGTCGTTGTCCAAGGCTGGGTCGCTTATCGGGGTCACACCTGCAGTCATACACCTCTTCGCATAATTGAGTCAAGTCATACTTCACCTGCTGAGTTCAAGTCATACTTCACCTGCTGAGTTCAAGTCATACTTCACCTGCTAAGTTTAAGTCATACTTCACCTGCTGAGTTCAAGTCATATTTCACCTGCTGAGTTGCAAGTCATGACTTCACCCTGCTGAGTTTGTCATGACTTCACCTGCTGAGTCAAGTCAACTTCACCTGCTGAGAACGCTCTTATTAGCTGAATGAAAAACAAGTTATGAAATTGATTCACACCACCCACCTCTCTTTCTTTCTGCCTTTCTATCTGTTTGTTCTCTCTCTCTCTCTCTCTCCTCTCTCTCGCTCTCTCCTCTCTCTCTCTCTCTCTCTCTCTCTCTCTCTCTCTCTCTCCTCTCTCTCTCTCTCTCTCTCTCTGCTCTCTTTCTCTCTCCTCTCTTTCTCTCTCTCTCTTTTCTCTCTCTCTCTGGTCGGAGGGGGGTGAGTCGGGCGGGCTTGTTCCCTTGGATGTGACTGGGGCATGAGGCGGCTGTACTGGTAGGTGTGTGACATGTATGTGGCCGGTTAAATGCATACACACACTCACACTAATACTCACACGCACGCACACGCACACGAACACTCACTCGCACACACATGCCCACTCACTTACACACCACATGTACCACTTCCACACATACACACATGTACACCACACACACACCACACACACACACACACACACAAACACACACAGCACACCACACACACACACACACACACACACACACATACACAACACACACACACACACCACACACACACACACACACCACACACAACACCACACACACACACACACACAACACACCACACACACACACACACACACACACACACACACACACACACACACACACACACACACACACACACACACACACACACACGACACACATACACACCTACACACACACACACAACACACACACACAAACACACACACTCACAAAATACTTAGATATTAGGTTGTATATAAACATATAGATAGATAGACATATAGAGATTTGTGACATGAATATGGTAAGAGGTTTAGCTAGACACGAGTATTAAGTAACTGATTTGTGTTAGAAAGTGTGTAAGTGGTGGATAAGTACAGTGAGGGTATGACTCAACTTGTGCTGTTCATTGATGGATTCTGGTTGGCACGTGTGTATTCGGAAAGGTACTATTAGTAAGCAGATAAGAAAGAAGAAGTTGGAAAAAGAATATCACGAGAGGGAAAGAGTGAAAGTCAGAAAAGTAAAAAAAAAAAAAAAAAGATAAGTGAAATGATAAAGAAAGAAAAAAGAATAAAAATACAGAAGATCCATAGAGAGAAACAAGACCCAAAACTCCCGCTCCTAAGAAGAAACGGGTCCTGGGGCCCTGCGGGCGGTGCGGCGGTGCGGCGGTCTGGATCACTCCAAACATGAAATGAGTTCTGCACCCGAGGCCAATCGAAACGTGATGTGAAGGCGAGCGATTTTTTTCTTCTTCTTCTGTTCCCTTTTCTTAAACCTTCGTTCCCCTGCCGTCCCCTCTAATCTATCTATCTATTTCGCCTCTCTCTCTCTTTATGCTATTCTGCTCTAGTATCTATCTATTCTAAAATCGTATCATATCTATCTATCTCCATATATCTATCTATCTCTACCCCAATCGTCATCTATCTAATTATCATCTGCTATATCTATCTAGGCTCTACATCTATTTGTATCTATCCTGTC